TTTATGTCTCTTAATCTGTTGGTCATTCGTCAGTCTGTACCTCTCTCCCTCTCCCTCTCTCTCGCCCTCTCTCCTGCTTTCTCCCTCTTTCTTCTTCTCCCTCTCACCCTTCCTCCCTCTCCCTCTTTGTTTCTCTCCCTCTCCCTCTTTCTTCCTCTCTCCTTCTCTCCCCTCTCTCTCTTTCCTTCTCTCTGCCTCAGTTACTGTCTTACTCTTTCCCTTTCACTTAGTTTGTTGAAGAAACTGAATCAATTATTCTATAGGAGTCCCACTTTTAGAATTGCACCAAATATATTATATCTTCCACTATATTTCCAGCAAGCTGAGAGTTAGATCTAGAAACTTCATCAGATTCAGGTTTAATTTTTATATTAATGTAATTTTTTTTAGGTCTGCCAATAGAGTTCATGTATAAAGTAAACTGAGAAAAATTTTATGAAGTCATCTTCAAATCTCCTTTGCTTATACTGGTATTTTAAGAAGTTAAACTTCTGGTCACCTTTTAATCCCCTTATCTGCTAAAGATTTGCTCTGAGACCCCTTGTTAGGTGCCTAAAACCAAGTTATATAGATTTTGTGTTTTTCTTATGCATAAGTACCTATGATAAATCTTAATTTATAAACTTGATACAGTAACAGATCAGCTATCATTGATAAAATGGAACATTGTAGCAACACACTATAAAATAAGTTTATACGAATGTATTCTTTTAAAATACTGTACTGTAGATGTTAGCAGCCACATCCTGCTGTATTTTCTTTCTTTCCCTGCGTGGAGAACTTCCACGTTTCACTTAGAGGAAGCACTTCCTGGCTTCTCTGACGTGAGTTGCCGTGGTCATTGTTCTCGTGCTTCGGTACCAGTGAACTGAGATCAGGCGACTGCTGTAGCTTCTGTGAATGGCTTGGCGTTTGCTCTCTAGTTGGTAAAGTGAACGATATTTTAAAAAGCATCAAATTGAAAGCCAGAAGCTTGCAGATTGAGTGGTGAGACAGGTGCTGTTTTCTTCCTTCAAGACAAAATCCAAGAAGTCCTCTAAACCTCTGTAGGAAAGGACGATTGAGGAGCACTGGAAGGAGTAGGTGCCACGCTGGAATCTGGAGGAAGGTTGCACAGGGCAGAGGGAGAGCTAGTACAGAGGCCCTTGTTGACCAAGACGGCACCCGGGATAGTCCAGGAGTAGCAGGATGGCAGGTTAAAGCAGGAGCCAAAGCCAGGTTGTGTAGGGGCCTCAGAAGCACATGTGTTTTGTTCACACTTTGGTGGAAATTTGATGTGCCGGCAGGGAAGTTGCGTGGTCTGACCGAGGGGAAGAACCCTGGAGCGCAGTCCCTGTAAGGCGGCAGGAAGGAAAGCAGAGAATACAGCCACCTCCTAGTCTCGGCCAAAGCTGCTGTGGTGGCGCTTGAGTCTGACTGCAGAGTACGCCACAGTGTCATGCACTGCTCAGGAAACCTTCATTAACATGATTTGCTGGAAGCTATTATATTCTCCAAGTGAGAAACATTTTTCAGACCAAAGCTGTGAATTTTTAAAAGAACTGCTACATGCATTTTTTATGACTAGTGAGAGTGAAATGACAGTGCATAGATTTCTGTTTGCTTTCGAAAACAAGAAGCTAAGATCTGTAGACACAGCCTTCTCACAGTCACTGGGTGATTTTTTTAATGTGTGTATATTTTTGTTCTGTTTCCTTCATTGTCTGCTATTGTGGTTGCCTTACATTTTCCCTGGCCTTGATTTTTAAAAACGAGGCTAGTTTTATTTGGTTCATTTAAATGTTTGTATTTCTTACAATCTGCTTCATTTATTTTGTGAAATGAAGCAAGATCTGGAAGTTTGCATGTTTGAAACTTTAAAATCCACTTTTAATTTTACAAATGATAAAATAAGTGCCATCATATTTAAGTGTCTCGCTTATTTTTAATCATATGTATTTTTTAATTTGAAATCATGAGTATTTTCAATTTTTTGGTGATACCAAATTGAAAATTAAATAAGTTAGATATTTTGGCCATTATATTTTCCAAAAATGTCTTCCTTTGAAGCAGTGGAGACTTTCTGCTTTGTCGTAAACAAAGTGTCTGTCTGGATCCTCTTTGGTCAGTGCAATTCCCGGTCTTTTCCTGTAGGTGGCACGCACTACCCTTCTTCCTGGCCTCCTCAAGACCATAGCTGCAAATCGGAAGATGCCCCTTCCTTTGAAACTGTTTGAAATCTCTGACATTGTAATAAAGGATTCCAGCAAAGGTAAGAATGGGTCACCTTTCATTTACATAGTTCAAGCAGTTTTTTATTATGTCATTTTAACTTCTGTAGAAAAATAGATGAGAGTGGCGTGATTAGCCCTGTGACTCCAATTGAGAACACATAGCACACCTTTTTTCCATATCCTGCCAAGTTCTCTGTTTTAATGTGAATACTAGGCAGCATATCATTTCACCAGCAAACACTTCAGTTAAGAGCCCTAATACATAAGCTCTACACCCTTGTTGTTTTGTGTTATTTTTAAGTAACACTGTTATCACATCTTATCAAATATCCTAGTGTTTAAAGTCCCCATTTTCATAGTCTGTGTTCATGACTGATTTCCTTGCGGCAGTGTCCTAGAGCTGTCAGGTGCTGTGTCCTGGTGGGGTGGCTTACTTCTTTGAATGGAAAGCACACGTAGCTTCCACTTGACCAGCACCGTGGAGGCTTGGCCATTGGTACAAGTGAAGGTTAGCATTCAGGAGGTCCCGGATGCAATCCCTAAAACTACAAAGAAAAGAAAAAAGGAATGAATGAGGGAGGTGGAGGAGGGAGACTGTGGTACATTTCCCCTGTGCCTTAAATATGTGGTTCCTACAAGTATCACTTCAGTGTTCTTGCTGTCTTCTCGTTCTGCCTCAGCCATGATTGCCTGGCATCACTTCTGTGCCAGCCATCACGGATGTGCCTTTTTGTTTTTGTCCTTTGGGGTGTGGTTTGGACTTGTTCATATGGACAGTTTCTTGGCCCAGCTCTCCAAGTGCAGTGGTTATTTAGCATTTCCAGTCACTGACATAGGAGCAGCGGTGTCAGGCGGTGTGTGCAGTGGCCCCCAGGGGCACAGTGCCTCAGCTACTGCCCTGCTGACAGCGTTTCTTGGTTCTCTAATTTTTGCACATCAAGTCCTGGTAGTGTTTATCAAATTTTCTTATGCCAGACCCTAAAATATTCAGTGTGTCCTTTTGAAGCAGCAGAGACTTGTCCTGGATTTCTTCAGGAGAGGATAGTGGACATCATTCTTCTTCCCCACCCCACCCCGGTAGTGGGGTGTGAGCCCCAGCCCTTTGCACTGAGCTAAACTCCAGTCCTTTTTATTTTTTTATTTATTTTATTTACTTTTTTAATTGAGCAGAATATATTTATTGAGAGAAAGAAAGCTCCTGTCCTGAGAGAGGGACAGGGGTGGAGGGGGTGAGCAGGTAGTTCCCCCCATCCAGTCCTTTTTAAATTTTTTTTTTTTTAATTTGAGACAACTTCTCTCTGTGTTGCCCAGGCTTGGCAACATGCGTAGCCATTCACCGTGATGCCCCATATGTTTTCCAGCACCGGCACATTCCATGATTTGGAGCACTCA